CACACACACACACACACACACACACACACACACACACACGCACACATTCAAAATTTATTCTCCCACATTAAGAAGTGAGGCCTATTGTGTAATCCTAACAACTGTGATTGCAGCTCCATGATTCATCTTTCAGGATTACCACTCGTGCATACCAAACAGGATCCCTTACGTTCCTTCGACACTTTTGGCACCGATAACCATGTGAGATGTTTCCGTTTGTTATCCATCAGGATTATTCCTGACACCTGCTGAGGTCAGCAGCCAAAACAAAAAAAGCTGTTAACTGTTTTCTCTCTCTGTTAGGATGACATGCATGCTCTGCTCTGATGCAGAAATCTCCACTTCTGCACAATTCTTTGTATTGTTCCTTTTGTTCTACTCACCTTTGCATGTTGTTTAGGTTTACTGAACAAATCAGGTTTTATTGTAGTAGTTCTGTGCAAAATTCAGGACTATATTTTGACCCACCTCAAACCAATGCACACATTAAATAGGTACTTATTTGGAATTGGCTTGATTCTAAAATGAATCAGATGTATGTGTTCTCTGTGAAAGTTTCAATCAAATCTATTTAGCGGTTCATGAGATATTTTACTAACAAACAAACAAACATATATTTATTAAAATGGCTAATTTCATGCAGCAGGTGACAATTAGTTCCCAGTTCTCCTTCCTCTACCAATCCCGAACAGGATTAAGTGTTTGTGGAAACTTTATAATATTTTTTTAATGACTCAATGGAGTCACAAAACCTATGACCAGACTGTCTGAACCACATCCTTTTAAAAACACTCAAACACAAAAAAGGGCCGTGCCTCAGCTCTGATCTGTTGTCAAACCATCACATTTCTCAGCAAATCGTGATTTAACTCATTCCCTAATCCATCCTGATTTCTTCTTTTTGATTCATATCTTCATGTGTTGTTTCTCTCACTGAAAGCCAACAGAAAAGGCACCAAACCTTCTTCCCTAGTTCACTTTTTGTCAATCCTCTCTCTTCCAGATACATTAGGACCTGAAATATTCTATTTCATTTTATTGTTTTCCATAAAAGAAACTCTAAGTTGTTAATATAAGGATGAAATAAGGAGTAGAGACAAAAAAGGCTTTGTTCAGACAACACTTTTGTCCCTGATGTTCTTCAGACTGCAGAGCAAAGATGTTATTTCTGATATATATGAAATTTCAGGTTTACTGTTGACACCGTTAAGTTTCTGCAGACAGACAGGAGCACATGTGCTCATGAAAACAAAAACCATGAAAAAAATAAGATACAGAATGTAATAGTTGAATGTGAATCTGATTATTTCAACCAGATGTGCCGGCTCATGCATTAAAACATTATAATGAGACACTTTTCGTCCATCTGTTCTTGAGTTTTCTGATGATGTTTCAGAAAAAAAAGTCAACAAAATGTAAACGCTAAGTATAATGACTGAAAGAGAAATCTGCTAACGTTTAAATGACAAAACTTGTAACGATGTGTGCAACTATGGGGCAGCTTGTCAAAGAGTTTATAAGTGTCAGTGTTTGTGAAATTCTGTTTCGTTACTATTTTCTTTATGTTTTCTAACTGGTATTAAATTTGGTCCTTTTGGTGAATTTTGTTAACAAACAGAAAAGCAAACCAGCAAATGCTGCAAAGATGTAGCGACACTACTTAACACATTTTAGCCATTTTCACTTGCACACGTTGCAAAACTTTCAATAATTTAATTGAACTCAGTGAAAAAACAACAGTAATAACACTAACAGCCATGTAAGAAAAGAGGCAGAGAAAAACATCTAAACATTTTAACACAAACAAAGCAAAGTGAAATTAGAATCACAAGCAGAACCCTATGAACTTTTCTATTTGTGTCAAATCAGTTACCGTATAAAGAAAAGTCAGAATCACATCACATAAAGTTTGGATTAACTGTTCGTCTTGTAACCTGTGAAGATGGGGACAAACAGGATGGATGGATGGATGGATGGATGGATGGATGGATGATGGATGGATGGAACACTGGCACTCAGTCAGGTTTGAGCTTTAAACCATTTTATTTGTATGCTTCCTTTCTGGGTCACGAGGGAACTGGTGCCTATCTCTAAAGTCTACTAAAGGCCACAAAGTGATAATTTAGACAATTTAGAGTTACCAGTTATAGTCTTTGCTAGGAGGTTTAACTTCTGCACAGATTTTAGTCCATGCCGACCTGCTGGGTGCGTCCCAAATAAACTGTGCTGAGACCAGGAAATAGGCTACCGTTGCCAGCTAGCAAGAGCACTGATTTCATGACCCAAAGAGCGAAGCAAGAGGGGACCAGTAGAACAATTCAGCTGTGTCCAAGAAAGAGTTTCCTGCATCACACACCAGGGTCGAGACTTGGTTGGGCCTTGGTTTTTGAAGTGACATATCTGAAGCAGAAGGCTCTAGTTGCAACCTCTGTTACTCCCCTCACCCCGCTGTTTGCTCTGACATCAGCATTGAAATGGAATAATTTATCCGCTTTGTCTTCTTCCTGCCTCAGAATCCAAGGAGACAGCAGTCCAGCTGTGCTGCATCCTAACGCAGCTTTTACAGCGAAAAGCACCACCAGCTATAACAGATCCAGAGTCGTTACACTGGATGGCTTCTTTTTCTCCTCCACATAACGCTGTGGAAGAGCCCACATCTCATCTCCTCTGCCCCGTGCTCTCGCTCTCCTGCTGCACCGCGTGCTTGGCTCTGTTCGACCGTTCATTTCAGGGTTTTATTTTTTATTTTTTGTGAATTTCAGAGCTCGTTCTAAAATACTTCCTCTGCCTGCTCAACGTCTGTCACACTGGCTGTGTGAGGCGAGTTCACAGACTTGCATTTCCTCGGGATCCCAGCCTCCAGAGGGACTCAGCTCACTAAAGTGCGGGGATTTTATCTGGCTGCCTTGGTGTGATTTCTGAATGGACCAAGACAGTGATGGGCGGGTCAAAGTCAGCACGTCAAGGCTGCGGACTGACGTAGTAAAAAAGGCAAAACCTCCTACCAGAGAAAGCAAAGCCTGGTGCTGCGGCTCTATAACGTGATAAACTGATTGTAATTGTGTGCGACCTCCTGCTCACAGGATTAAACAACAGATTTTTTACAATACATTTTCAGCTGCTGTACTTCAACACTTCTCATGTGGCAACAACCCTCCGCTAATTGAGAAAGTGCACCCTCACTGAGCACATACGATAGTTTGGGTCAAAATAATTAATAAAATAGTTTAGCCATTTCCTATACAGCATCCCTGTTTACTGCATCACATGCAGATGACTCACATGTGGGATACTGCTGCTGACTGATTCATGCTGAGATGTAAAACTAACATTTTTTGCCTGAACTAAATTCTGATCCTAAATAGAAACAAAGGGTAAACTGTGACATTAAAAAAAAACCAACAGGACAAAATTTGTAGTTCTACAGGTTGTTGTTAGTATCCATCCATCCATTTTCTGTACACGCTTCTTCCTTTTCAGGGTCGCGTGGGTCACTGGTGCCCATATCCAGCAGTCACAGTGCGAGGGGCAGGGTACACCCTGGACAGGTCGCAAGTCCATCACAGTTGTTATTAGTAACTTTTTTTTTTAATCTTGGACATATTCTTCTCTGGACAGGTGATAAAGACAGCCAATAGCTGCACTGCTAGCATAATCTCTAAAGGGGCGCACCTATACTCATGATAGATAAAGGTGTGAAGCTGTCACTTGTTCACATTTTCCTTCAAAGTGATTTGTTCATGTTTCACACGGAGCCATGGATCACACACATACTTTCACTTTGTCAAAACTGAGCAAAAACTGTGATTTTACCGTATTCATTGCATTTTGTGAGCATTAATGAATGTTCCAGTAAATTAACGCATATCATCGCTTCTCCTCACTCTTAAAATAACTGCGACTTTACGACAAGTTCAGGTTGTCGGGCGAGGAGACACAGAGCCCTGGTTGTGTTTGTGTATTTAGGTCACGCAGAACGACCTCGGAGAAATAAAACGCTTAATTAGCTTAAATCAGAACAACTCTGGAGAGAGGAACAGTGAACAGAGACATCTTTATGTTCTTGTGAATAAAACACTTGTGTTTGTGGAAAAAGCTGACATGTTTTGGATATTCCTGTGTCCACATTTGAGCTTAATGTATAGGATGCGGTGATTTGCCTATTCTCGGTTGTATTCAGTCTGATGTTAAAAGATTGTTACAAGATATTTATATTACACAAACTCTTTTTATAGAGACAAGACATTGAGTCCAGAAAGTACTGATTTAGATCCAGTAGAGGTGCTTAAGTCCATAAATGCAACAGGCGATAAAATTAGTTATTTTTCTAAAGTCAGCCTAACATATTTCATGAAGTTTTTGATGAGGGAACTAAATGTTTAATATTTTGTGAGTACAATAAATTCTAAGGAATACACATCTTTATATTTAATAAAAAAAGTTATGAAAATGAACTTGGGCTAATTTTTCATTTATGTCAAATGATGTTATTGTTAATGATGACAGATGCAGGCCATCTTTTTTCTTAATTTCTTCCTTTTATACAAAAAAACAAAACTTAAGCTTAGAGTGAGAAGTGGGAAGTTTCTACTGAAATAAATAAACAACAACTTTGTTTGCATGTTGACACAAGGAAAAGTGCAAAAGTAAATTTTTATTTTAAGAATAATCTGAGTAATGTAGACCCTCAGTAAATTCACTACCATAGATATATTAAACTGCATATTAATATTATGCAAAAGGGATTTCTCTGCAGCTGTTTTCTTTCTCTATATTTCATCATTATAAAGGCTTACTTAGATAATATTATAGTACATGTTTAAAAATTTTGCAGTACTTGCATTTTTCATTTTAGAAACACATATTGAAACTTATTATCTTTCCATTAGTTTCTTCTTTATTTATTTTTCTTTTTAGGGGTTGAATGATTTATGCAAATTATCTGAACCTTTGGGCTCACCTGTTGGATCAGAATATGTGTATTGTTCATTTGTACAGAAAGGCCCCATGATAGTCACAGAAATGAAACCATGAACATAACTGCACAATTGGGTGTAGCAAAATGTTGAACTTATTGTATTAACAAAACTCGTGTGAAAATGTTTTATTTATTTTTTCTTGTCATGTCTTCCTCCCTTTCCAGTCCTGTTCACACAGTGATCACATGAAGTCTCCACTTTGTATTTGTGTTGCATGAAGAGAATCCAGAAAACTGAACATTAAAATATTAATGATTTGGGAGAACCTTTCAACAAAGTTTTGTTGGAACATGATGGGACTGCAAAGAAATGTGACAAGAAGTGAGCCTTTCATCAGCAAACTCTTCAGATAAAATATTAACAATTACTTTTTAGCCTTAAGGTTGAAGAATGACGTTTCACAAATTGCAATAGTCAATAAAACTTCAGCATGCTGATCATCATCATCATCATCATCATCTGTAAATCATAAAGGAGGCACACACAGAATAATTTTACTTTTTTGATTATATGGAGCACATTTTAAGTTAGTATAAAAATCACATTTATTTTATAAAAAAGGAAGAACTGGACTTACTCTTGTATAAAACATATTTAAAATATATGTCAGAGCCTTAAATTAATTAATATCCCAAACATCAAATTTAATATTTAGTTAAATATTTACATGATAAATTTTAAAGATGAGTTCAACTGTTGAAATAAAGTTTTCTATTTGTGTGGGATGGACTTCAATAAGCATCAGATTTCTCCCTGAAATAAAACTGGGTTGCTCCACTGATCACAGTCCTGTACGCAGCTTCTCTTTCCTTCTCTCCACTGAGGAAATGCTTGCAGTTACAGCAGGAGACGGTCTGATGGAGCGGCCCGACTGCTCAGCCGGTAACAAGCCATGTTAGAGCGCGCAAACAGAACCCACAGGAGCATCCATGACGGGAAACATTTCTCACTCTAATTCTTTTGCATTTTTCCTCATCAAGTTTTCCACCATTGACTGTTAATTTACTCTTACATTCAGCTGAGGGAAGCAAATTTTACAGTCTGCCAAACATTACTTTAAAATGAACAAACTGAGTTGTTCAAAAAATGACAAAGCTCAATAGGATCATCTGTAAAACAATAAACAAATAAACAACACTTTTATAAAAGCAAAATGTTTTTTCTACATAGACATAAAGGACCTATTTTATGATTCTAACTTTATATTCAAAGAAATTATATAAATACAATATTCATGAATACAAATTATTATTGTCCAAATTGAACAGTTTAAATGGGCAAAAATAAAAATAAATAAACAAATAAAATCCAAGGTTTAATTGTGTTGGTAAAGCAAATCACAAGATTTTATCATTTCAGTCGTCCAATTAATTTTGAGTGTAACATTCTTCACTGCTGCTGTTTTCACTTCTGAATGCTTGGCTGGGAAAAAAAAATACTTTTTTCTCAGTACGATTTACAACCTCATAAATGCTGTTTGCTGATGCAGACATAAAGATTGAAGCTTGTGTTAGTCTCTGCCCTCGTACACAACCTTTAATCAAAAATACAATTATAACCTGTAGACAGGCCAGGGCACCCTTTATTGTGTAGCTTTCATATGCAGAAAGTATGCAGGAGAGAATCACAGCATGTTTCACTGATTCTTACCTTTGAATTTAGCTTCATATTATTATTTATTTATTTTTATTTTGTGGGGTAGACATGTTTTTTTTTGGCTTTTTCCTACAACTTTGCTTTATGTGGACAAAAACAAAAGTGTCTTTGAACCAGAAAATTAGCAGGAATCAGAGAGGGAATGCTTTTCGCTGTCTTCCTGTCAGAGAGTTTGCTTTCTTTCATGTGCTTTTCCTTGTGCCAACAGGTAAACCTTTCTATCCTTTGAGCCAGATTACAGCAGTATGAATGAACGGCAGCCTTAACTTTCGATTTTTCTTTCAGACTCTTACCTTTAACTTCTCCCAGTAGTTCACTGGCATTAAGACGGTCAACATGCTCCTTCCACTCCTTGGAAAGTAACCTTTCCACACAAGATGGTTCTACAGAAAACAAATTGAAAACAATAAAATTACTAAAAAACTTTAAAAAGTACATTCTTTAAGCAATCTTTACATTATTACTTTAATATAATGCAGACAAAAGTATCCCCATAGAATAATTTAGTTTTTATACTTAGTTTTATAGTTTTTGTAATGTGACACAGCACAAATATCTTTGTTGTGTATTTAAAAAAAATCACAATACTCTACATGCCTTTTTAGTGCAATATCTTTGAGTTCAAATGCAAAACACAAACAAAATCACAAATGTGTGTTCCTTTAATTGAATTCCGACTGCCCACTTAGCTGGATTAATTTTATAAACTTTTTTCGTACCCTTCATTTGTCCACACTTTCGAACAAAATCACTGAAGTACCCATGCCACACCACAAGGTGGCGAGAACGTCCACATTAATTGCATGCCAAAATACAGAGACAGAACACGTTAAATTTATTTAAAAACTCTCAGTAAACTCATTTTGTTCTATAGAGTTCAAATGTATTAATCATTTTTGCATTCATTTACAATGACATGTCAGGATCAAGATAAATCGAGAGACCCAGAAAATAGAAACTTAAATTAAGTCGGGTACACACCGGACTATTTTGAGCAGCTGAAGCAGCCAGTTTACATGCAAAGTCTATGATGGATGCGCATCTAGGAGCAGCGCGGCGCGTTTGGACAGTTTAGCACGGCGCTCAAGGTAGCGGTAGGTGCGGTAGAGCGTTTTCTGTGCATGCAGCGCCTCCAAAGCAGCAGCTGCTCAAGTTCAAAAAATTGAACTTTTGCTGCTCAATGCGTCGTGTTACCAATCAGAGAGACTCATTTTTCCACTTGACAGTTTCCTGAATGTTGCCCACTAACCTGAAACAGACAGACAGGAGCTCTTTAGCTGAAATTGACTATCTGCAGTTGGTGGTCTGGCTGGAGATATCAGCACCGATGTGGGTCAACAGCTCAAACTGACCGCAGTGTTAAACTGGGCTCGGGACAAAAAAAATGTCCGTCAGCTCGCATCTCCTGGAGTGATGAAACTAACCGAACAAAATGCCTCTAAATTTTCTGGTGAATTAATTATCTGGTGTGTGCAACGTTCACTTGCTCTTTAGTAAATAAAACAAAGCCATTTTATTTATTTTATCTTTATTTCACCCCTCATTAGAGACGGACGAGAAAAAAACCAAGACGCTCCTCCCTCTTCAGACGGGCCTCTAGTCTGCTGCTGCGTTCACACCGAACTCGTTTCAGTGCGTCCAACTTGAGGCGTTGGGAGCATTTTTGCTGCTCAAAACCCATTTGGTGGGAACCTGGCTTTAGTTCCCTATTTGATCATTTCCAGAGCACAAAGTGATAACTGGTATGAGCAAAATAGGCCGTGATGACAGTTTCTAAATGAATTTTTAAAATCTACAGTTTAAAATCTGTTTTTCTCACTAAACGCTTAGTTTTTCTGTAGATGACAAGTATAAATGCATCAGAAAAGCTACATTTAGTAAAATAATAATAATATGTATAGCTAGAGTATTGTGGACAGAGTTTTCTTAAAGGAAATCATAGTTTGGTATGGTTATTTAAAAAAATCTTTCTAATAAAAGTATTTACACACACAGTTTCTACTTCCACATGAGAAATGCCTTGAATTTTCATTTCAGCAATGAAAGAAACAGGAAACAAGTGTTGTTTTACCAAAGTAAAACTTTGACATTGATTGGAAAATAAAGTTAGATAGAAGTTTGTTCCATTCTTGCAAGTAGAAACAGATTCAAGACTGAAACATTGGTGTCGACATCTGATGTCACAAATACAGAATCTGTACAAAAACATTGTTTTCTAAATTCACCCATTGATGGTGGTAAGCTACATTGTTGCCACAGTCTGAGAGGTGAGGCTGCCATGCACCAATGCCACCGGACCCTCTGACCACCACCAGCATGTAAGGTGGGGGAAGTGTCTTACCAAAGGACACAATGACTTGAGACAGATTGAGTAGTGATTATCGATGTTTATCCTGTGTTGTCCTAAGTGGTTCCTGTGGCAATTACTCCACCTGTGGGTGATTCTCCTGATGACTGCCTGGCCTTTAAAAGAGCTGCTCGGCAGTCTGATCTTCGCTGATGCTTCTCACCTATTTGGTTGTGATCGTTTTTTTGGATTTTGGATTTCATATCACCTCGTCATCTCTAAAGGAGTTTTCTGGAACCAAGAGGATTTTAAGAACCTGGCCACTCTGTTGGAAAACTTGCCTGCCTTTGGAATCACTCTCTCTCCCAAACGTTGCTGCCTTTGGATCTCTGTAAGCACAGAAACATTCTTTTTCATCTACAAATTCAAGTTGCCCTGTTTCTCAAATACTGACCTGGACTCTTCACCTTCTTGCAGATTGGAACCTGAAACTCACTTGTAAATAAACAAACACTTACCTTTTTGTACTTGGTCTCCGTCTCGGTTTTTCTCAACATCACTCTTGGCTGACATCCTTAAGTTTATGTCAGACTGAACCGGCAACCCACCACTTTAAGATCGACTCCCCTAACCACTCTGCCACAGCCGCTCTGTCTCAAATACTGTGATGTAATATTTCAGAAACATCGTAGAAAATAAATAAAACTCAGTGATTTGGAAAAAGGTTACTCTAACAGAATATAAAGATAACTGTGCCACACCAGTGAGAATAAATTCAACTTTCCTGCACTCCTACAGACTCCAAGTGCACAACAAAATGAATTTAACAGCTAAAACAGTGGACTTTGCATGTGTCCCTTTTAACACACTGCTAAAGTTAACAAGTAAAATACAGCATTTAGTATCTACTCAAAACGGTTCAGTAAAATGCTTTCATTTTTTGTAATATTGCTTTTTGTTGTCATTTTAGCTATCAAAAATTAATAATAATGCACATATGTATGCTGTGAAATGACCCATAAGATCTCAGTCTTAACGCTGAAGCCTCATAGGTTATTTTGTCCCAAGGGCAGCAGGAGGCCTAACCATCCTTTTCCTTCAAAATTAGTCTCTGGAAAGAATGTACTGTTCATCAGTGTTTTATTTGAACATATAATTTATGCAGGCCTGCCCTTGGTGTAACAAAAGCCACCCACAAAAAATAACCCAAAAATAAAAAGAAGAGGAGAACTAAACTGGACATTGTGAAACAGGAGCTGAAAAAGAGACGTGGCCTCTTCTGTCTGCAAAGAATTGTTAAACGACAAAATATCCTCCAGCTTCTTCTCCTAAAAAGATAAAAAGGCAGCAGCCATCCAGCTGACCGAAATGACATGTCTGCATTGTTCTGAGACAGGGGGGCTTGTTTGTGGCTGTCTTCTTTCTCACAATGTGTCTCATAGCCTCAGGACAGTAGACATCAGAGACATGTGGTCATGCGTGGTCATAAGATTCATAAGGTCCCTTTTGTTCAATCGGAGTTCTGCTGTGAACTTTACTTAAACAATGGTAACTTTTTAATTCTTTGCCAGAAAGCCCGCTGTCTGCAGTTGCGTAAAGCAGGAGTGTTGGTGTGCAACACGTTAATGAAAACCCAGAGCAAAGTTTGAACATTGTTGTGCTTATGTGATAAAATGTAATTAAGCTCAAGTCTTGAGTTTCTTGTTATAAACAACACAAGATCATTTTTTAAAAGGACTTTTTTAAAGCTTCTAATGCATAAAACCAGGCACCATGCCCCCAAAACCATTCAAGGCTATTTCCAGTATTCAAGGTTAACGTTTAACTTTAGTTTTTTGTACACCTGCTTTGTGGTTGACTTATTTTTGAATTTGTTGTATTGGTACTTTACATTCTGATAGCTAAATGTTCTCAGCATGCATATGACTGCAGTGCACAGCTGGAGTCTATTCAATAAACTGGAAAGAGGCATAAACCTGTCTAGACCACAATGCATCCCAAAATACTGAACATGCACATTTGTAACTTTAAAACGGTCAATTAACAAAAAAAATGTGCATTTTTAAAGTTTGATGAAATGTTACAAATCTGCACAGAAACAATAAAGTCCAGTTGACAAAGTTTAGATCATCTACTCAACTTTTATTGTTTTTGAGCTTAAATACTGAAAAGTATTTAAGTTCCTCCTCCGTCACATGTCAGTCACAAGTAACAACCACAAATAACATTGCAACCACCAGAACTGATTTTTTTTTAATAGTCACTTTGGCATACTTTCTAAATTTCTAAATCTCCTCCCAGTCAGTTCAGGGAGACGACGAGAGTTTCCTGCATGTGGAGCAGCTTCATAAATGTCCTGAACTTTTAAGTTTGTGTGCAAACACTGGTTTTCATGCCAGCATCACAGATGGTGTCAGGACCGAGCAGGGCTCAATGCCAAAACCTCAGTCACCATCGATGCCCCCCCCAACACACACACACACACACACACACACACAC